CCTGATTGGAAAGGTGGGAAAGATGTGTGTGATTGAAAACAACACAAGACAAGCCAGAGTGGCAATTCACTTGAATGAGAGAAAAAAGAAGGTTACAATGGCCTGGTTCATGCAAGGTGTTTTCAATCAAAGGTCATAAAATGAAATTTGATTGCTTGCATAAAACTACATATTTTGAAATTAAAAGAACAAAACTCATTGAGGTTTCAGAGTCAAACCTGAATTTAGTCTGGGCTAAAACCTTGCTTGTGTCATACTTTGGAATCCCAGACCATCAAAGCAAAACTTCAACCCAAAAAGGCTACAAGAACAAATTGAGTAATATGTTAAATTTGTGATTATCTTTTGTCATACCCAAAGTATTAAATCATTTCAAAATAAAATGAATTTCAAACAAGTAGATACACTGCAGTGTAATTCTCAAGGTCTAGCTGGGTTTTATGAATGGGGCTTGGAGAAACAACTCCCAAGGATTGGAGGTCCAACTCCCAAGACCATGCAGACGTCCATTTTGGGAGTTGGCACACCAATTCACGCCTCCATTTTGGGATTTGGCACACCAATTCAAGAAAAATCTTTAATTTGGGGAAGTCTGATAAATCAAAATATTATTTTTTTTCCTGCAAGCAGGACCATATTTCTTGGTTCCAGAAACAGGAAGAGTTTTAAATTGGTTTGAGCTATTGGCTGCTGAATTGGAGAAGATAATAAAACAAAAGCATTCATTTTGTGCATGGTAACCATTGTCTGAGGTGTATATATGTGAACTGTGATAATGGATGAAGATAAAAATAGTTGTAGATTCTCAATATGAGGTTTAAGTTAGTTTCTAGTTACTCAGCATCGAAAAAAAAAAATGATTGTCTTGAATCTGCAATCATTCATGCTGTGAACTGTCATACTTCAAAATCTTATACCTCAAAAGCCTACCACAACAGAGTGAAAGGCCTCTCATCTTCAAGATTATCTTGTGAGTACTTTTTGGCACTCCTGTGGCTGATAGATCAGGAAAGGCTTCTCTGAGTTGGTGTGGAAAGGTTAGAGATGGTGGGGGGAGGACCTCCTTTTATATCAAAGATTGAGGGATTTTTCCTGCAGGGGAACTCCCTGAGGGATTATTATTTCAGGGGAACTAATATTACATCTGAATCATGTGTTCTGATTGGTCCGAATCCTGCCATTTGAATAACATCCTGTGATTGGCCAGGTTCTGACCTCCAAAGCAGTCTTCTGATTGGCCGGTGCCAAGCTCACCAGTTCAAAGTGCCAGCCTCACCAGTCCACACATCCATCCAACTCTTGAGTTCTCTGCCTCTCTTGCCACCTTACTCCTTCCCTTATTTTTCCTCCTCACATAATGATTTCTCCCTACCACTTTTCCAAATACTAAATTCCAATCTTATATAGCAGTATTTTTCCCTTACACAAATTAAATACCCTTATAATATGCTTACCCTTATAATTATTCCTAACCTCTGTTCCATTCCTGGCCAAGAAAAAAAGTTTCCCAGTCATGTTAAGTCTGCTTTCCAATCCTGGTTGAGACAAATCTTTCCCAGAATTGATCCATCCTCTGTTCCAATCCTGGTTGGACAAAATGTTTCCCAGACCTAGAATGTCCTTCATTCCAATACCAATGAAGATATACTACTTCAATCCAAACCACGTCCTCTTTTCTAATCCTGATCAAGACATTGTCCTTTACCCAACCTTGCATCCTTGGTTCCAATCCTGATCAAAACAACATACCTATACACACCATGTCTTCCCTTTCAATCCCCGTCAGCAAAACCTTGTGATATGACTTGATGTACATCCAATTTGTATATAGAACCTAGATCTTTGTATCCATACATCCTCCTCTTATGAAGAATGTCTTGTGCATGCAACTATCCAGTCACAATACCTCTGCAATGTGCTTTTGGCCTTGTGACACAAATGAAACACCACAACATGAGTACTATCTTGTCATATGCTGAGTCATCCTAATCAAACAAAGCTTGAGCCTAACCAAAAGGCTATGAGACTGGCTGAAACACCCAGTCCAATTAGGATGTTGCAGTGTCACATACTGTCAGCCCTAGAGATACTCCAGAGTATCCAAAAGCCTGAATTATAGTATTGTACCTCCTTTAATATTGAGAAATCATGTAATTTTATTCCAGAAATGGATTTCTCATGTAATTTTACATTGGGTTACCCACTGGGCCTACCCCCAAATTCATACTCCT